CCTTAACAACATTGTGGTAATCTATAATCCACTACCAGTGAAACACAGTTTTAAATTCTAATAATGTGTCATTTAACTTACATTGATGCATACTTAGTTTATACATCATGCAGAGCTTACTATCTCTTGCAATCATATGATGAGAGGTGAAGGACAAGACCAAGGTAGATCTGATAAGAGTTCAGCGATCAAAAAATAATAACAGAGTATCGGTAGTTGTTTCATAGAAAAGGATATGATAGTCCACACAACATGATTCAAGCTTCAGCAAACACTACATTTGCGGAAGACTATTACAAGACTCATTACCTGCAAATACGGCATCAAGAAGACGCGAATGAAGTGAACATTTGATAAAATCTACCAAGTGTTTGAGTTAAAATGAACCGGTAATCAGGGTACTAAGGCTAAGAAGGCTGTTTACAGCTATGTTCATTCTGGATGTGAATTTTGATTGAATAATATTGGGACGCCTAATTTTAACTTATTGTTCTTTGCTTGAAATTTTTCATTGGTTATAGAATAGTTGGTATAATATTTAGAAAAATATTGCAGATATTTTACATTACAATTTTACATGTAGGCTTCTATTTGCCATAAAATATTGTATATTTCTCATTTTATTCTGACACTAAATTTTATTTTGTGTTGTGAATATGGTTGTACTTTAAGCATGGCTGCTAGGGTTTAAATGCCACAGCCCTCCATATAAATTCAAAAATTTACACATTGCAACTCATGGTATAGTTTAGTAGTTGACAAAAAAATCCTATATGTCATTATTTAGGAACCTTTTTTTAAATAACAGCGACCTTTTCAAGATTTTATAATGAACAGAAATGTTACAGTATAATAATTATTATGAACTCTAAAACATAGCATGCACTAATCCAATATCATGAACATTATCTTATCAAGAGAATAGGAAACATTCTGCCTTATAAGAATTTTTTGTAATAATTATAAAAAATACATACAAAAGTTATTTTAGCTTATTATTAGTTTTTCTAACAGTAGCCTGTTGCATATGTGTTGCATATATGGTATTAAAGTACATTTTTACTTTGATATGCTTGGGTGTGGTTGTGGTTGCAATGAATGATATCAACGCACTTGAGCGCTCAGCTGAAGCAATCCAACAAATGCTTATAGATCCACTGTTCCGTTTAGGTGACAAACTAATGTGTGAAATTCATGAGTTCAATCTCAGCTTGGCAGACCTTGTATCAGATTTGAGAGAAGAATCACAAGATGCAGTTGAATGTTCGAAACATTTGTACAAAAAAGGTGAACCCGAGTTTGTAAGTTATAAGTTTAATGCCTTTGTGGTCAAAACAAAATTCGGGTGGACTTCTCTTCAGTGGAAAGGTTTTATAAAACTAAGAGAGAGGACTAAACAAGTATTTAAGTACTTTTGCAGTGTATTTGAAGCTTCTGTTCCTAAATAAAATAATTACATTGAAAATATTGAAGTAAAACACCCACAGAACATTTTAACGATAAAAGAAATTTCTGAGTGTTATCAAACCACAGTCTTAACTCTGGTATTCCTCATAACTCACAAGTTTCCTTTAATGGGATTGGTGAATGATTGGATCAATTTTTTTCCGAAGATTCATCACAAAAATATACTGCATAAAATATTGGGTATGTTGCAAAATTGGTGCTTAGAATCTTGGACTTGTGTACAAGAGGGACACAGGCGACCCCAGACCCCACAGTATACATGGACCATTTGATCACTCTGGATCACTCCCCATATATATTGCCAAAACATATAGAAAATAATTAGAGTTTCTAGAGTTAAATCATGAAGAGAGCTAATCTATCTAGAGGTGTTTAGAGGTGCTAACCATGAATCTTTACATTGATAACCTGTTTAACAATATTAACAAGAGTGCATTTAAATCTGAAAAATAAGAGGTTGGAAAATATTTAAATGTCTTTATTCTATTAACAACATGGAGGCAGTTTAACTGCTTGCGGAAATACGCCTTAGTACTGGGAGGTACCAACCTGAGTTGCAGTTGAAGTTCAGTCAGGCACACTTGTGGTATTATTTTTAAAATAATGCTATCTTCAGGCACGTGTGCCAAGCTGAAGGTGAGAATAAGCTGGACTTTAGTTAAGTAAAATTTAAAGTTCAAGGCAGCTTAATTATACCATTACTTGTACACTGAATACAAATTTTACTTATGAAAGTTTGAATGTGGACACTTTCAGTATCACATGGTATACTACAATCTAACAAATTACAAAAATCACACAATGAAATGGTTATAGTATAGTAATTACCTCTACATAAGCAAACTACTTTTAAGTAATGAAAACTGTGCAGTGTTGCCACGCAATATTGTTGGGGAATATTAATAACATGAACAGTAAGTAAAATGACTATCACAATGTGATAAAAGAAGAGGCCAAATCTTACTCAGACTAACATCAATCATGAAACACTTTCACTGTTTAGTAACTTTAACTGTTGCAATTGTTGTGGACAGTCAATCACCTCACTTTGCACAAGAACTGAAAGAGCTTGACAGACAAATATCTGAGCTTCTAGAAGACCCGACTCTGAAAGGCATCGAAGATTCCATCCACTTTATGAATTTATACTGTATGGAAGTCAGTGGCCTCAGTATGAAGCTGGACAACGATCTCGCTGGACACATGATGAAGGATTTGATCAAGTTTTACAGACAGGGTAGACCAAAATTTGTTGACATTGACCTCAACGAGTATGAAGTGAAAAAGCATTTACTTGCAAAAGATGAATTACTGACAAGGTTTAAAGTTGTACAGTCAGACGCTCGAAGTGCTTGGGATGAGTTTGTGACATGTCTGATAAAAAAAAGTCCTGATCCAATATGACATAAAATATAAGCAGTGTTATTGTTAATTTTTAAAAACACCCTTATGGGTCCCAAAATACTCATAAGTCATGTAGTAAAGTGAAGTGTTGTAACCCATAGTGGCATCCAATACATATACCTATACAAAATGCATTTACAATACTAACATACATTCAAAATAACTATCTTCGGAAAGTATTAAGCTCTATGCCCAAAACTGGTAATGTACTACTCCTTGAAAAATACAAATCTCGATATGTATTTATGCAGCAAGAACAGTGAGGAAGATTTTCTATCCAGGACGTGTATAAGTATAAGCATAGACTAAGCAACACAAGTAGACTCCTCATCCCATTGTAAATTTTGACGCTTGTTTTTTGTGTCTAGTTCATGTACGTCCACACAGATCGCTAGTGTAGAGGCAGGGGCTTCTTCAGAGGTAGAAGGTAGAATGGCAATTACAGTTCTGGGAGTTTACACTGATGCAGGTTAAACAACCTGTCTATATCTACCTGAGGAGAGCTCTATCTGCCATTCTACCTTCTATCTCTGAAGAAGCCCCTGAAAAGGGCGAAATATCAATCATCAATTATTTAAGATGGGGACGCCACTATGTGCGTATTTTAACCCAAATATGAGTGAAGGATGAGTGAAGGATGAGTGTAGGATGAGTAGCGCGATCTTGTAGTCTTGTTAGTGACTAAGGCCGACATGTTCCTTAGACACAGCTGTTAATTAATAGCCCAAACAGCTAATGGCAACTAAGGGACCTACAGTTTAGAGTGGAATCCGAACCACATTCTTTCCTTGGAAGTTAAGGAATTGGTCTAATCATCAGGATAGTACTGCGGATAGTCGAGTACTCACTTGTGCGGACGTTAATCGACACCAGGGAGCATCGCATCCACAGTGCATGCCTATAAATATCCACAATTCGTCACCTCCTAGTAGCTGGATTACAGGACGACGCCACCCGTCCCAGTCAGTTTAATGTGTACTTTTTATGTGTTCAATTTACCTCCTGGGACTCTTTATTCAGGTGAGTTAGTTGTGTATACTTCCTTTCTCCTAAATAATAATTCTAAAGCCAAGTTGTTTTTTTCCCTCAAAACTAACCTTTTAAGCTGTATGGCCATTTCTCTAGGTGTGCCTATTGGAAAGCAACATTAAAGACTCTGTTTATTTGTAATTTGAAATATCTGAAAATAAATTTTATTCAAATTTTGATTTTATATTTTTAAGTGTGTTTCAACTAGGCCTACTACAATTTTATAGGTACATAAAAAAAAAGTTTATTTACTTTTGGCTATAATTTTGTGTTCTATTATTTTGTGTTTTCATAAGAACCGTTGCTTGAAAGCTTTTAGGTTTTAGGGTGAGGTAACATATCAATTTGTTTGCAATTTGTTTGTCTAGTGGTATTTAAGTTATGGTTTTTAGAACTTACTTAGACAGTTTCCTGTTCAATTGAGGGACAGTATGTCTACCAAATATCAGCGATTCAGTAAAATCATTGACTTTTGGCTTTTGGCTATTCAAAGGGAAGATTCACTCAAGTAATATATAATATAAAGACACAAACAAAAACTATAGTAGAGATTAACAAGGTAAATTTTGCAGTGAGCTAAATTTAAGCTGAAACAATTTAAACATAATTTTCCTGTTCTTTGTTTGTAGTTCATTTTTGGTAGTGGGTGTTACTGGTTAAGTTATACAAGAGACTGTTGCAGAGATTTACTATCACAATTATTTAATAACTTTAATAAAAATGTTGTGCGTGTTATCTTTCCCTGAAAAAACATGTTTTCCTTGTTTTGTGTTTAAAGGAGAAGGCTAACGGGAATGAATGATGAGAATCAATTCATTAACTTTGTGTCTTCAATTTATTTGCTTCTAGTGGGCTTTAATGGCTCCAATAAAGTTGTATAGCCTAGTTGTACTAGAAGATATAATTTAATCACATATTGCATACCTACTAGCTAAAGATTCAAAACGAAACAAGTTTTCTCTTTTCTAACTCATTCAATAGTGTGTATACAATAACTTCTTCACAACATAAATGGTATCACATAACATTATGCAATGTGTTTGAACCCAATTCAGCAGTGTTAGTTACAGTGAAAATTGTGCAGTAAGACATTGGTGACAATGAGGTGGCTGCTGATTGTATTGTTAGGAGTGTGGTGTTGTGTTATCAGTTCTGGGTCTGAACACTTTTTTACCCCTCAGCAGTTAAAAAATTTAGATGAAAAGATCATAAGCTTTTTAAACAAGCCGACAAACGCGAGTGATTGGGAAACTTTAGTTAAAGATATGGAAAATCTCGTTGAACAGATAAAAGTTTACAGGAGACTCATGAGGGACAAGAATGACCAAGAGATAGTGCGCAAATCTTACGAAATATACCAGACGGGGAAACCGAAATTTATATATCACACCATGAGCGAACCGGAGATCAGGGATGCAGCTCAGGTTACCAAAGAGGACATGGAACACTTTCACATCCTTCGTGACAAGATTGACAATCTATGGGACGAGTTTTTAGATATTATCAGTGAAAAGACTGGTGAGATCTTGGTTTATGAGAAGCCTCCAGGGTTTGAAAATTACGATAATGGCTATGGGGGTGGCTATGGGGATGATGATACCCCTGGTCATGGGAGAGGATGGGGATGGCAAGGTGGGAGGGGAGGAGAGTATGGCCGAGGTAGAGGCAGGGGGAGAGGAAGAAGAAGAGGTGGAGGGGGCTACGGAAATGACTTTGGATCACGGTACCGGTAGAGTGAAATAAGTAACATGTGTTTTTAAAAAATTCAAAAATTATTAAAAAACTGTCGAAAGACTTGGAATTAACAAAACTCCTTGGAAATTAGGAAAAAGATAATATTTCAGAAAGCCATTCCCCCTGCATTTGTTTGCTGTGGAATGTTAAGTATCCAGCTTTTAAATTAAATGTTACAAGTCACCAAAATTGTAACAGAATACACCATTTACTGAGGTGCAATGTTCAATTTTTGCTGTTAATATCAATGTTTTTTGCGTGAAGGATAAAAAAGGTGCAGATTAACTAAAAGTTAGTCAACAGTTTCATCAGCTAAACTGTCCAGCTTGTAATAAATTTAATCAATATTGATTTACAATATAATGAACTTTAGTTTGCTTGAATGGAAAAATAATTAAAATAAACTCATAAAATGTTTTACTAGCTTTGAGGATGAACTTAGTAACACAATGTGTTATTGATCTATTGCTACAATTGAACAATTAAGATTATGTGTTAGTCATTAATCCAACAGATAACATGAAACTTGCTTTTCTGGTGATACTGTTTTGTGTTTACCAAAGTGAAACTGTATTGTGTGAGTTTACTCCTGAAAAAGCAATCAAGTTAGCAGATTACATGAGGGTGATGATGAGATATCCAAAGTATGAGTATTTGCCTCACATCAGGAAATGCCTCCATATGTACGCTGGGATACTGAGCTATCTAACTCTCAAATTGGAAGAAGAATCAGATGATTCATCAGTTGAAGACTTTTATTTATTTGGACCTCCTAGGTTCATGACAATGCCGATTAAAGACAGGAGAGTACAAGAGTTGAAGAAAACTTACAAATGGGACGATCGAGACCTGAACATATTTCTGGAAGAGTTAAATGATGCTAAGAAAGTGTGGAGGGAGTTTTCTAGAACAATGTTATCCAAGAAGTCGCACATTTCAGCAGAACCAGTACCTCACAATAGTTTAGTAATAGATTGAGTGGACTTTATGATATATCAATTTATGTAAATATCAAACTAGAATTAAAGAAGAAGTTTTATATCTTAACATAGGTCAAACACAACATAAATCAAAAGTCTATAGGTATTTTCTTGCTGAATACTACAACCAGATACAGAAATTTTGTTTAGTTATTTTTTTTTGGGCGGAGAAAAAAATACTGGTAGAATATATAAGTTGAGAAAGTGTGTAAAGTTTGCCAAGATTTAAGTGAAAAGACGAAAAATTTATTTCTTATAATTTTACTCTAAAATCTATACAACAGAAATTCTTACAAAAGTATTGATATTTTCTTATTTTATAAGGATTTAAAAGTTTTTTAAACTTAATGAGGTTTGGTAAAATAGATCTAACTTGCATACCGTAGTTATATCAGTGATATGTTGTTTGATTGTCATTGAAATGAACACTACAAACTGCATCACGATTTGATGGTATAGGAGATGGTTGCGATTCTGCAGTGTGAAATGAATCATTTGAGATATCCAAATCACTGTCCTTACTGTCTTGAACCACAGGCGGTTGATTATTATTGTTATTAAGGTTCTCCCTAGCAGGTTTTTGAACCCTTGTTAAGCTATTTAGTTGAATAAGCTCAAAGTCAACAGCGAATAAAAATCTTAAAACAATCCAAGCCAAACCCAATCCCCAGAAAAGAACCATGAACCACACCGAGTGCCTTACTGATATTAATCCATTAGAAAGTCTCTCCCCAATAGTTTTACTACCAAATTGTAAGCACAAGATATCTTCCAAGTCTGTTTTATATGTACTCCATGCTCGCTTTATACTATTTAAAAACACTTTTAGGCCATTTTGGAAAATAATAGCTGTATAGAAGATCGAAGAGAACGATACCAGGTTTAATATTATAGTTGGGATTACTATTCTCCAAGCGTCTGGTATTTCTCTGCCAGCGCCTCCTCTTCCACACATCCAAAACATAATTGTGAAGAAGCAAGCGAGCGTCGTTAGAATGACTGGGAAAAACATAACTATGTTACAAGACTGGTCGTTAAACTTGGAACGCACAATATCAACAGAACATGGCACATTGACGTCCATTATACTGTTATTGGTTGGGACTAAAAATATCTCTGCATCGAGTACACAGTTGTGCTGCATCACCATAACTACGTCACTGAAGTAAAACACTAACACAAAACTGGAAACTATGCTGCCGATGTAGAAGAGCATTTGACATACTTGCCAGATTAAAGGTATTTCACTTGGATCTTTGGCTTGTAAAATGTGAGGTACACCGTTAATCACTGCTACATTCATCTCATACATGATGTAGTTTAGGCTGTAACCTGTAATGTTGGTTAGAATAAATTATTATTTATTGACATTGTTAAACAACAATTTTTAACAGCTGTGAAGTTTTTTATACAATTGGTTTTGTAATTAACCAGCCAGCATGTGCTTCATGTTTATTTTTGTTCTGATTAACTACATCATGCCAAGTCATGGATTCACTGTTGATCATGCCATGAAACTAAGTAAACAAATTACTGTAATGCTACAGTCTCCAAAACCTGATTATAGACTTAAAGTGACAAAACATCTGAACATATATGCTGGAGTACTTAGTTACATAATTTTGAAATTAGAAGACGTGTCTCTTGACCCAAAAGTAAAGAAATTATACTCATCTGGAAAACCTACATTTATGAAGATACCAGCGGAAGAGAAAAGTATGGCGTTTAAGAACATTTTTCAGTGGAGTGATAAAGAGTTAGACTTGTTTCTTGAAGAGTTTGGACACATAAAGCAGTTGTGGGAAGACTTTGAAACACTAGTGAAACAGAAAGAAGGTGAGGTATATCAAAATCCTAATTGTTAACTTATCATTGTGCATCAATAAACCAAAGCTGATACAAACATACACCATTTTACTACAATATCAATTATAGTTCGGCCGCTTAGAAAGCGACCTCCTCTAGCATCGGTTTAGCATTAGCGTGCAGGTCGTTTTTTAAGCGGCCGAACTATAGTATGTAAAATTGTACAGTAACATATTATTTTGTGTTATTATTTCCAATACTGTAATACTGTAGTTTTGTTTTTATCAATAACTGAAGTGATACATTTACCATACCTATATCTAGCTAACAAACAATTTTGAAGGATATCATAAGACACCTAATTATCAAATTTATGTATATAGTATCGACATTTGGATTCTCTATATTAATAAAAGATTAAGGGTATCATAGCATTATTCAACGTATAAACAAGTGACACATTTTGAATCTCCAGCTACGATCGCTTAAATCTATCTAATTCAACCATGTTAATGACATGCAGACACAATTAAACGAGGTTTACTTCTTAGGCTTGAGACTGATATCTGACTTTTACTGCTAAAAGTGGACAGAAAGTCAAAATCTTTTAGTAGTCTTGAGTTTTTAAAAGAATCTTTTGCTCATGAGCTTCAAAGGTTGATCAGATACAAGAGTAACAAAACTAATTATACTGCTCAATCCACAGTTAATCAATCGTAATTGTTGTGAGTATGACTAAAAACAGTTGTAACTTAGATGAACAAAGCCTGGGAGTTCATGTTGAACGAATGCTCATTGGCTTTGGTTGACCAGTTTTGTGTTTATAAAAAGATGTGGGAAAAAGTAAAAATCTGCTTTATAAGATCAATAAATAATCCATGGAATTTAAAGAGCTAAAGAAGTACAACAAAAGAATTACACAAGTAAGTGAACAGCTAACAGAATGAAGTGATTACCGGTTAATGTATATGTGGAGTCTTTAAAAGGTTATTTAGAACTAAATACACAATGTGTAATTGAAAACGAAATATTATTAATCGTTTATCAAAACAATAAACCCTATAGTTTCACCTTAAATTTATAACATTGCTATGTACATGGATTAATTTATCCTCAGCTTGTGTATAAACAAATTTACAGCATTTTAGAAAATAATCTCACTTGAATTCATGGCCCTGGACCGAGTATTATTTGCTCTTCTGATTGGTTTGTTTTGGTATTTTCAAGAATACGATATTCTTTAACAAATTTCCCCCATAGGGAGTGTGTTAAATCTACAAGCGTGTGAAATTTCAATGACGTCTCGTTGTTAAACTCAAACACTTCTTCACACTTTTCATAAACGTCATTTGGTAGCTTAGCAAACTTTGGCCCCTCTGGTCTTTTATTGATGTAAAACTCTGCAGCCTCTTTGGCACTGTGTCGCAAATTAACCATTTTCTCAATCAGATATTCAAAAAGCTCTACAAACGAGTCCATATATCCGAGAACTAACAAACCTCTCTCTTTCGTTGGTTCCACTATAAGCTTCTTCAAGTTTCTGTCCATCCTCAACAAATGGTTTCCATCATGCCAAGCTAACACTGGCAGAATCAAACACACACAACCTAAAACAAGCTTCATTTCAAATTTATGTTCACTGTCGTATGAAATTCATTTCTGAAGAAGATCAGTTGATTGCCGAGGTCATTTAATTAAAGTATTTTAAGATAAGATTTACAGGCGGCCAAATGTCTTTTCTGTTTCAATGTGTTTTTAAAAGAAGTAATATAAAAATTAGCAATCATTCACTCATTAGTACTTTGTAAGTACGGTAATTAGTTTATCTCCTACAATCAGACATTAAAATATACACATATCGCTTAACAGTTTCTGTATATTGCCTCCATTTCTGTGGTTCACTTCGTAACGTTTCTTCTTATGAATCCTTTTGGATCTAATGAACAAGTATTCTAGCATTCAATTGTGTTAGTTAGGGGGAACAACTAATCAAAAAACTTAGCAATGAGCATTGCTAAAACATGATTTTTTTTGTATTGTAAGCAAAATTTTCAGACCTGCTTTTGTAATGCTCAGCACTTGCATCTGTTTCCTCAAAATAATACTGTATCTTTGTTGCTCCCCAAAAATTAACTGAAGACACGACAATGGTGGTCATTTGTGTTCATATGCAATATACCAGATACCCTACAACAGTTCCTTAATTTTTCCTC